AGCTTCACAAATCACACACGACTTCTTTAATCAAAACATTACAATGTAGTAACACAAAACTTGTTTGTGTTGGCAAAATCGGTTTGCCAAAAAAATACCAAAGGGAAGTTACATTCAAATCTAATCTCCCATTTTTTTGTTTGGTCTGAATTTAACGACCATTTCTCTTGCTTCATGTACTTTCCCTCCGATATACCCAAATAGAGTCATTCAATGTTTAATTGGTGTCTCATGATCAACCATGTTAATTTCTCTTTGTAATATCCAAATTATTCTTACCAACCCTCATGTTGTGTAAATTTACTAGATCTGTGAAACCAAATGCTTTACTAGACCATTTGCTCTACTTTTCACCCAAAACCTGGTTTTGCACTTGTGTCACTAATGCATAAAACCAAATTGTCGACAATAATCCCTGGAGGGAGACATGATTAACTCTTCCAGACAAGTAAGAAGAGTTAACTAGATTAATCACTAAATGTCAAAGAAAGGTGCATTTTGGATGCATTCATTACATAACAAAAGCTTAGATTCGATTAACGAGCAGAGACAACCTAAAGTCTATAACATTCATTCCCCATTGCCTTACTTTCACCTATTACTTCTTTCACTGTCACTCTCTCTTTTCTTGTTCTTCACAATTGGAGCAATCATGCTTGACTTGATTAGCAAAGATGCTTGACTCGAGTGGCTTTGAATCATCAACATGGAAATGTCCTTCACAGGTGGAGCATTGATGCTTGACTCGAGAATGCTTAAAATCTTCAACACCAAGATGCTCAACATGGTCTACAAAAGCATGAACTCTACCACGATACTCAAGCGCTTCGAGGTCTGCTCCAAAACCTTGGATTTCAACACTTTGGAGAGTGTTCCTTTCGGGATTGAAGTAGAAAACATAATATGGCTTACAAGTATATTCCATGGCCAGAACAATCTCACCCGTAGCAATCACTCCAGCGACAGAAACATTGGAGGGATCATCAATCAGTTCGTTCTCCGGCAGAGTGTACACATGCGTCGACCATTCATGTCTCTCAACATCCTCTAGCACGCACATACGCAACTCAAGAGTAAACCTTCCACCAGCTTCACCGTAGCTGCACTCAATCCCACCTAATTTACCCTTGCAGTTGATCAATTTTGTCGTCTTTGGATCAGCAAAGCATTCAGCAACGACAAACCTGAATTCCTCAGAGCTCAAATCGAACCGAACAATATTACCAGGCGTATCACTAAAGTTATCAACCAAGTAATACAAAACCCCATTGATGCAAATCCCTTCACACAAAGAATGATCGTATTGGGGACAATCGATCTTCTTCTTCCTCCAACTGATTTCTCCAGTTCCTAAAGTCAGAACCTCATGATGATCCCTTTGTGAACAGAATGGATGAGCCTCAGCCAATACCTTGAACTTCTTCTCAGCAGGATCAAACCCTAAAAAGCCTCTCTATTTTTTGTACATATACACCTTAGGCAAAGTCACATACTGACCCGTGATAGGGTTACACACCACATAGAATGTACCATGTCTTGCGATCCACATATCACGGAAATAGAACAAGCCAAAAGCATAGCTACAAGTGAATCGGCTTACGTCTTCAGACATATTGGTATGAAAATCAGCGTCAACTACATGAGACGACGACGACTGAGGCGATGAGAAGAACCTCCACACACCTTTCCGTTCAACCGCAAATAAGAGCCGTGGACGAGCACAAGACCTGGACTGAAACAGCTCGATGAAATCCGCACGGCTAAGCATGGAACACCATAGCTTCGACAGGCTACGAAACCTACCAACTGACTTAGCCGGCAATCTCGAGAATATCTCGATGATGAGATCAGCCGGGATGGAATTCATATTCACTCCTCTTTTCATCGAATTCTGAAGATCGTTTCTTGTATCTTCTTGTTCACACTCCATTTTGCTAATCTCAGTTTCAGGCTCATTGGTAGCATCAACTTTCACTTGTTTCTCATGAGAAACAGAATCCAAAACCTCTACCGTGTTGGCATCAATGGTTTGAGTTTTAGAAGACAAACCTAGTCCCTTACCAGCTACTTCCTCCTCCATGAATTGTCTGCAATCACCAACAAACTCACTTTCCTCTCTCTGTGCCTCCATTGGATTCAATCACCTGGTGATACATCCATAAAAGCCGAAACTTTTAAACAGAAAACAGAGATAGAGGAAAAGTTGCAGATTTCTGTGGAAATTAACAATTAGAAAGCCAAAATCGAAGGAATTACTTCTTTAGAACTTGCGAGAATTGGAGAAAACGAAACAAAGGTGAAGGCTTTGTGTCTCAGTTACAGAGACGAGTGTGGGAGAAAGAAGAAGAATATGCGTTAGATTGATGTCCGAATTGAGAGAGAGAGAGAGATGTAAATTGGTAATCAAAGTGATCGAATTCGTCAGTCGAGCAGCAGCGTGTTATAAATCATCATCAACACCAAATTCCCTTTTCTTTTCTTCTTCGTAATAAAATAGGGTTTATTGATGCATCCTATGATCCATTTAATCGACCGTCTTTGATCCATCCACGTTGCAATTTTTTTATTAATCAAATATGCGTTAGACCAATCGCTTGCATTAATCAAATATTGATTTCCATTGAATTTTTTATTTAGTCAGAATCTCCACTAAATCTTAAAAAAAATATACTTTTAGCATCATATTAATATGGAAGAAAAGGAAGTAGTACTAATTAATGGATCAACATTTGGCTCCCTAGACTATTAAGTAAATGATATATATACATATGTTCTCTAATTATTCCTCTTTGTCCAATGTCAGAGTCTAGACATTGATATGTATTAGACAAAACAAAACTCGTTAAAACAGAACATATGTCGTTCCGGTCTGTTCGAATCGTGGCCAGGTTCTACAATTCCTCGACCACTCTGGTTCCTCGCTTCCTCTGTTCTCCTTTGACATCTCGTTGCTTTTCTTCTGTGTGCGTTGACTCGCCAAGTGAGTTAGCTCAAAAAAATGCGAGCCGTTCTGCTATGGACTCGGTGGTGAAGATTTCCTCCTTCTCTAGGGAGCCAAATGTTGTTCAACCTTGGCAGACAACTGAGAAAGAATARTCAGGCTCTGGTAAGTATATTCATATTCATCTCTCTCCATCGTGTCGTGTGATTTCTTTATCATATCTCCAGATTGAGTCATCTATCTTACAGCATTGGAATGTAATGTATAGGATTTGCAATCTCCGGAAGGAGGATTCTTACAAACGCTCAACTTGTGAATGATCACTCATACGTGCAAGTGAGAAAGCATGGTTCGCCCACCAAGTACAAGGCAAAAGTTGAAGTGTGTGGGTATGACTGTGACTTGGCCGTTTTAGTTATTGATAGTGAAAAGTTTTGGGAAAATATGAATCCTTTGGAGCTTGGAGGCATACCCTTTCTCGAAGAAGCTGTCTCCGTTTTAGGTTATCCTGTTGGTAAGTCTAAAAAAGCTTTGGTACTGTGAAAAGACTAACAATCATGATTCACTTAAAGATTAGTTTATAGTATTGGGAATTAATATGTAATGGAATCATCGAGGATAATTAATCATAAGAATGCCTAACTAGTTATATGTTGTACCTTCAAATGCAGGTGGTGACACAATTTCCGTCACAAAAGGTATTGTATCGAGAGTTGAACCAAGAATATATTCTCACAGTTCCATTGAACTCGGGCCCGGTTCAATCTTAAAATAGGCCTTGTGCC